TAAAAGAAAGGAAACGTGCATGTGCACGTTTCCTCAAGAAAAAAAAAAGAAAAAAGAAAACGGGAGAACAAAAGGAAAAATCAGAAGGAAAATTTCTAGAGAGCTATCACATACTTTTGAGAAAAGTGAATGATAACTATAGGTGGCATCCCTATTCATCCATCTCATGTGTTGAGAAACCCATTAGAACGCCCACACGTTCGAGTTCACGTTAATCCGGAGATACGTTGAGAAAGAATCGTGGTGTTCTTGGAATTGAAGAGGTCAAGACGGTGTTAGAGGAGTAAAAGATTTACGTCCTAATCGAACGACGGTCAAATCCTCATTCCTTTCTTTAATATCTTTGTAGTTAAATTAACATGAAATAATGATTGCATTAAATTTTAATTTATGTGATTTGATCGATACCACGCTTTCGCACAATTTTTTTTGAAAATCCGGTTTGAGAAACCAACATTACTAACAAAAAAATGACAAATTAAAATTAGTGTTACTAGTATTATTTATTTAATTTAGTACTCATGATATAATTGTACGAATAAGTTATTATTTACCTCATAATAAGACTGGGCAAAACCGAAAATGAAATCTATGGCACCTTCAAAGTGGCAATTGCTGAAATAATGTCGGCCTGTTGCATCCCACAAAGTATCTTGAAAGCCTATGAACCCACATTCAATAAATGCGGATTTGTCACCATATATTCTTGCTGCCAACGCCTGTTTTACATGGCTTCCCGCACTAATTCCAATGTCGTTGATATCTGAAGGACCCTGTGCACGATTATAGGAGTTCTGCAACAATATTCATTAGAGATTATGATATATAGATCAATACTCGGAATACCAATATATATAATCAACTTATAATATAAAGCAAAATTCATTAAACACAGGATAATTATTTAATTAGTGTATATATATGATCATTGAAAATTCGTCCATATATGAATGAGTTTTCAATAATTATGTTTTTATCGATAGTCACCCATTAAATATAACAATTTGATGATACGTATATTCAGACCTTGAATGAAATGCCCTTCGCAACCACATTATCTGAGCTGGACGAGAATGTAGCGCTGGTATCTGTTCTTTCATGGTCAAAAAACGTAACAATTGTCTTCTCACGACCTAGTCCTTGAAGAAAAATATATGATTTGTCTGGTGGAATAGTTACCTTCTCTCTGTCAGATAAATTCATCAAAAATCAAATAAGATGATCATATAAAAGAACATGAAATACAATGGCAATTAAAAGAGTGCAATTAACATACATAACGCATATTAAAAATTTCACTTGTAAGGGTCGATTATAAAGCAAAATTATAAGTATTGCTCGTGCATAATTATTCTTTACTTTTTTTCCCTTCGCTATAACTAAGTGACGTTATTAGACTAAGTACTAATACGGTTCATCAAGTAATGCATGTAAAGCTATAGTGCTACGTACGTGTATATGCCTCGAGAAATTTTTATTTTTATCCAGTCATGGTTGCCGGAAGGTATGGAATCTATGGCTGCCTGTATAGTTTTGAACTTTCCGCTGCCATTCTGATCGACGGTAATAATTGCAGATGCTACGTCGGAATTATTGACATTTTCGCTTCTACCACGGCGATCAGCATTAATGTTAATGTTTCTGAAAGCTACCGAAGAGTTGGCGATATTGAATAGTATGAAAACGAAAAGAAAAGGCGGAAGAAACTGCATTTTGGTTTGAGAGTGTCTGTTATGATCAGTTTGGAACTGAGGCTTTCGCTAGGACACAATGGTCTAAATATGAAACTATAGGAATAGTGTATGTGTATATATGTATACTATTGGCGTTTGCTTTGTTGCCTCATTAATTCGGATTCTTCATCCATTTTTAGAAATTTCCATTTTGTTTTTGTGAGAAAAGGTGCACAAAGATCTAGCATGTTACCTATTTACTGTTTTACTAAGAAGCATTAATATCTATCGATACTTAATGAAGGTATCTTTTTCCATAAAAAAAAAAAAAAACGGAATCTTTTTTTTTCTTTTTAACCGTCATATGCTAATATGCTATATAATCATGAAGTCTGGTGTAGGTATACTACTTCTTTTGTAAAAAAGGAAAAAAAAAAAAATGATATGTTAAAAGTTTATTTCTAGAAAGAGGGCGGGTGACCCGAACATATTGGGAAAGAAGAATCTAAATTGTCCTTTCCTTATAATAAAAAAAGTCGAAGAATCCTATTGGGATCCGGAAATCACGTGCCCATATTGTGAGGAAACTGCCTAGATCCGAAAAATATCAAATTCACAAAAAAGGGTTCTTACCCAAAATATATGTTATGAATAGTTGTGGTCCAGTTTAGTTTATGTAAGTCAATTGAAATTATTATGTAAGTCAAAGTTATTGTTCATGTCAAAATTTTACTGTGAAATAATAACTATAAATAGTAAGTACTGTGTAAATAGTAACTGTAAATTGTGTCGAAAATTTTCTTATAAATAAAATTTTAAGACTTCATTTTGTACACCTTTATAAGATTAATGAAATTCTCTCTATAGTTTCTCTCTCTAAAGTTTTCTTCTTAGTTTTGCATTTTCTTAGTTTTCATAACACGTTATGAACACGAACGTTCTATTCCTACTGCAATTGTTTACATTCATTAATTTAAAGACATGAGGCTTTGATCCAATTACAAACATCTACCTTAAAGTAAAAAAAAAGTAGGTCCTAGCGCTTGTCCTACTACAAGTTTCAACCCTTATTAATTCAAGTGAAAGGTATGCAAATGCACTCTATTATATTATATTCATACAAAGGAAGGTTATGCCACAAACGTATTATAATTTTTATAATTTCATAGTTATACACCCTTCGAAAGGTTTACACAGTAGTTTGGTGTGTTTGTATTCTCATAAATGAACGGCTATGCTGTCTACATGTAGTAATTTCTCATTACACTTTCTGCATGCATATTACTATTCTCGTCTGTGTGTTTTTCTACATCATTTGAAATATACAATTATAATTCTTATTCCACTTTTAACGGTAATATGACAGATTTTTACACCACTATTAACTGCTATAAACAACTAGTTTTTACTCTACAATTTGTGGATTTCTTTACCCATACAATTCACTTCTCATCTTCTCTTCACTCTTCTTAATATTTTTATCTTTCACTTCTCATATTCTCTTCACTATTCTTAATATAATATACACGATATGGCGAATATGATGATGATGTTTGTTATGTTAGTAGCATTTTATATATTGTTGCTCTTTTTATTGGAGATCATTCTCTACACGATTTTTAATTTTTCCTTGCAATACTCATACTTGTAATATTTCCCCTTTTATTTATTGCTATTATGATTAACATGTAATTTTAATTATACGCTCTATTGTAATAATACTACTGTAATTCTTATTATATCGATGTTCTGTTATAATTATCACCATATCGAATATTGCTAAACTTAAGTTCGTTGCACTCGACATTATGGGAAAGAATTATATGTATTGGATCATAAATGTAAAAATGCATCTAGAGTCATTGGGTCTAACTAATACCATTAAAGAAAATAATAACAAGTCACCACAAGAAAAGGCGAAAGCAATGATTTTCCTTCGTAAACATCTTGATGAAGGCTTGAAATGCGAATATCTCACGCTTAAAGATCTACTTGTCCTTTAGAAAAATCTGAAGGAGAAATACGACCACCAGAAAGAAGTCGTACTTCCCGCCACTCGTGATGAATGAAACAATTTACGTTTCCAAAATTTTAAGAAAGTCAACGACTACAACTCTGCCATGTTTAGAATTGTTTCGCAACTGAAATTTTATGGAGTAAATATCACAGATGGTGAAATGCTAGAGAAAGCCTACTCCACTTTCCATGCATCTCACATTACCTTGCAACAACAATACCATTTGCGCGGTTATAAGACTGAGCTAATCTCAGCTCTTCTTGTCGCAGAGAAAAATAATGAATTGTTAATTAAAAATCATCAGTCTCGTCCCACTGGTTCAACTGCATTTCCTGAAGCAAATGTTGCATTGTCTACAAAATTTTAGGACGAGAAATATAATTGTGGTCATGGTCGTGGCCGTAGTCAAGAACACGGTAGAAGTGGTTATTACAACCCTTCAAAGAATGATATGATCCAAAAAAAAAACATCATGATAAATGTGAAGATGTTAATGGAAGTTCTTCCCGGAATCCTGAAAGTTCTTACTGTATATGTGATACTAAAGAATAACTAACATCGAATTTGTCAAGCACCATAATACTTTTGTAAAATTCTTAAGGCATCTCAAAATATTTGGAAGTTCAGCTGATACAATGCTATCAAAGGCTTCTAGGTGGGTAATTTTTGAATAAGTACTTTTTAAAATTATTTAAAAATGAGCATGTGAAGACATCTTTTTTGGAATTCAATCACATATACATATGCTACTACAGGGCCAAAAACTTGTTTCTTCAATAATTCAACTCTCCTAGTTTTGCTTTAAATATACAAGATAGTAAATCAGGTCTACTTTGGGCTTCTTTGTTCAATTGTAATTTTTCTTTGATTTCAAGCCAATTGGGATTACATGCAAAAGTTAAATATATATGAGGTTTTTCAAATCGTTGTACTAATGTCATAGCATCCATATATCTCTTGCGCATATCTCTAGAACCACCAATAAAGGAAGCTGGTAAAATAACTGTTTTTCCAACCTTTGAACCTTCAGTTTCTCCAAGTTTAATTCCATCAATAATTCCTTTGTACAATTCTGAAGGAATTTCAAGCAAAACAAAAAAAAAAAAAAAAAAAAAAAAAAAAAACTGAACGAATTTCATTTTGGTTGATTTTAAATAATCTAGTCTGTGAGTTTCAATTTTTGCATACATATCTACGACATATTTGACTTGTAAATGTGTCACTTACCCTTTCTAGACAACGGATTAGGATTTTTGCCTTTGATAAGCAGTGTAACGCAACAAACACTTCATACCATTTCGGTTGTGGTAAAGGGATAGCTGCTCCCAATCATGTGATGGTGATCAATTTATCAAAACAGCGACCCATCTCAAGGTTGTGGATAAACTTCATGTTTGGAACATCTTTTTCGTTGTCACTTGTCATAAAGTCAAATTAAGGCTTATTGTGAAATTTCTGTGGTTTTTTTTTTTGGATCTGAAATTTCTGTGGTTGGTTGTGAGTGTGAGAAGGAAATGAGCTAAATAACTTTATTCTCACCGTCATTGTTGTATTATAATGCAACACAATGCTTTAGAAAACTTGTTAGGCATGATTGTGCCATGAAACAGCATAATATAACAGATTGCCCCATTATACTATGGAGTAGCACAAGTCTTTCACATAGCTATTCTGGTAATATGAAGTATTTGATATTACTAATTTAATGCTCACCTGCATAAGTTCTAAAAGGCAATATTACATCTAATCCTACAATACCACATCCCATGACATTATTCCTTAAATTTTTTTTTTTTTGAATGCGATTATTCCCTGAATTTTATTCCGCCCATTATATAGAAAAATGCCCCAAAACAGATATCTTTCTTTATATCGAAATTAACTTATTGATATCCGTTAATAACCGATTAATGAAGTAAACCGGTGAGTGATCATCAAAATTGACTCAATCAATTAAGTTACCCGTTTTTCATAAGAGGAACATTTCTTTCAATTTAAAAGATTTGTGGAGATTCACTAAAACTAAACTTTAAAAATAGTTCAATTTTGCACATATTCCATTTTTCTTTTTCCGTTTCTTTTGGCAAAACGTTGACTTCTTGCATTAATACGAATTATTGCAAGCTGAGCGGAAAGAAATCAATAGGGTAATTGAAATCAAAATAAAATGTAATAAACGAAATACCCAAATGGAATTAATGCCCATTTGATTTGGGATTTTCTTTTTTTTTTTTTTTTTTTTCCTTGACCATTTGATTTTGGATTGAATGCGTGCCTCCTATCTTCTGCTATAAATTTGCAAGCCCTATGGCAGAAACCTTCATCCCTGGAGTTATTTGCAAATCTCACACGTAAAATAAACGAGATGGCCAAAACCAGAGTTTTTTCACTTTTCTCGTTCTGTTTCTCATATTGTTCTGCATAGGTTTGTCCTAATATTTTACACTTCTTTTTTCCTTTTATCATTTTAATTATCACAATTATTTTTTATGGTGTAGCTTATTATAAAGTACTCATTTTTGCATGCCACTTTTCATAGTATTTACAAACATGCATGTTTCAGTTGAATCTCAATAAAATTCACGTAGTTTTGTAATTGGTTGTGATGCATTTTACAATATTTGACTTCAAACCATTTTGGTTTATAACAAAGCGATAACCAAAATTTACAATACAATATTTTTATTTATTTATTAATTTATTTTTGTTTTTTGTGACTCGGGACGTAAAGAGGCGACATGTGCTAAGGAGACGCGCCCGGGACGCGATGACCCCGATTGCTTTAATTTCTGCGTACCATACTGCACCAACGGAGGCATTTGCAAACGTGAGGGATCTAAAACTTTTTGCCATTGTGCATGTTGACGATCCACATGATTTGATTGTTTGATTTGGAGTTAGCATAGAAGTGGGAGCTTTTAATATTAGGGACAAATAAGTGAGAACGAACATAAAGTTGTAGACACGTATAATAATAATAATAATAATAATAATAATTCCACTTCTTTTTCTTTCTTTTTTC